CACTAAGCGCGACGTCAATATAGGCCGTAAAATGTCGCACGTGGCCCTTGCCTGTCGAACTTGTCCGCCGGCTTGACATCCTAGGTACATTGCTGTGGTCTTTCACCTGATGATTGGCCTCGAATAGGAAATTAGGTAGAAAGTAGCGAAAGCGCCTGATGAGCAGAGCATACGTCTTCCCGAAATGGACAAATATGGCAGCTCCTCCGACAGATATATATACACTGTAAAGCAAATACAAGCATTATAAATATCTTAAAATCATATAATAAAAACAAAAAAATAACTGAGAGTTCTTTACGAGAAAGAAATGATATTTTAAATTAGATGATTGTTTGAGGGAATGGGGGAATATTTCCATAGTTGCCACGCTTGGCTAGCGGTTTAACAACCGTTATTTTGAGTTATTATCAGAAAGATGCTGCCGCCCACCTCCTGTTTCACTTTCCCTCTGTCTTACTTCACCCTCGGGATGATATGGGATATTGGAAATATCAATACACGGTTTATATTGTATAAGGTCATATTGTAAATATTGGGAGATAAATAGTCTACTTTTGAGTTGCTTGCCACTAATCTCGCAGTAGGGGTCTGATAAAGCGATGGCGTAGCTTTCTGAACTATCAAAAAGTGCTGTGTAAAAAACACAGCACTTTTTGATAGTTCAGAAAGCAACTTAACATATAACTACAAAATAATCAAAATTAAATTGTCTGTCTGTAATAACAAAACTATTGGTAAATCCAATTGTGCATGCCTTAAGCGCATGAAAAAAATTACGTAAAAAATCATGTACGTAATTTTTTTAAAGTAGTTTAAATACACAAAAGTTTTCATTAATAACCTTATTACTTACTATACTTCCAATTTTCCGATAATTTTATGTCGAACTTGGATTAAAAAAATTGGAAAATCCAAAAGTTCACGACGCATAATGCTCATATGATCGTGAAAAATTTAAAAAATAAGTAATTGTAGTTCTATTCGTCAAAGAGTTCCAGTAGCAGTAACCGAAACACCTTCAGGTCACTCTATCAAATCCGGAGGTAAGGTCTCATCATAACTAACAAAACGAGGCTAAACTCGGCACAGCTTCTACTACTCTTCGAGGAGTTCCAGTAGCATTCACCGAAGTACACCTTCAGGTCGCTCTGTCATGTACGGAGATAGTCTCATCATAACCTTCTGCTGACCTCTCATCCGGACGGATATCAGGTTTCCGTCGATGCCACTCTCAGCTCTTCAGACCATTGCCTGATTCGGAGTGTGGTGCCACTCCCGCTCCCCTCGCGGTTGCGTTCTGCAGGTTGCCACCGTGTTTGGCATTACAGGTCGGCGGATTGGGAAGGAATGCGGTCTTTCTTTGCATCCTACCCATAGGGGCGTGTTTGCTTCTCGCCGGATGATCCCAGCGCTGATGCTGACTCTGTCATTGATGTGGTGCTACAGGGAATGGAAATATTTATTCCATCATCTGTGGTACCCATCGGAGGCAGATCTCAGCCTAGGTTTGGTCGCTCCTGTAAGACTGCATTACGCAGTAAGCAGGAAAGTTATCAAGCCTGGGCTGCGGCTTCGGCGACTCGGGATGTAAACACCAGCACACTTAAAAAGAAGTATAACTTCGCCTCCAGGTCCTTCAAAAGAGTTATTGCCAAGGCAAAGTCAGAGCACATAGGCAGAATTGGCGAGAAGCTAGTTCGCCTTCCTTCGGAAACCCGTGCATTCTGGTCTCTCGCCAAGGCTGTCCAAGGTAATTTCTGTAAGCCATCACTACAATCTCTGCACAGGGAGGACGACTCACTGGCCCAAGACGCAAAAGAGAAAGCCGACCTTTTAGGCTCCCCTTTTGCGTCCAACTCGAGTCTTGATAACGGGGGGAAAACACCGCCGACCATCCCGCGGTGTGAGTGCTCCATGCCGGATGTGCTGTTCTCACAGCACTCGGATCGCAAAGCACTCCTCTCCCTGGACATCCAGAAGTCGAGTGGGCCTGATGGAATCCCCCCAATTGTGCTGAGGACGTGTGCTCCGGAGTTGGCACCGGTCCTAATGCGTCTTTTCCGGTACTCTTACTCCCAAGGCGTAGTCCCGAATTCATGAAAGACAGCTTTTGTCCACCCGATCCCTAAAAAAGGTGACCGCTCAGACCCGTCCAACTATAGGCCTATCGCGATCACCTCCTTATTCTCCAAAATAATGGAATCCATTATTAACTGCCAGCTCATGCGGTACCTTGAGGATCACCAGCTGATTAGTGACCGCCAATACGGTTTTCGTCGGGGTCGATCAGCTGGTGATCTTCTGGTCTACCTGTCCCATATATGGGCGGAAGCAGTATAGTCGAAGGGGGAGGCGTTGGCCGTTAGTTTGCACATTGCGAAGGCCTTCGATCGGGTTTGACACAAAGCGCTTCTTTCGAAGCTCCCTTCCTATGGGCTTCCCGAGAAATTGTGCAATTGGATCACCAGCTTCCTCGCAGATCGAAGCATCAAGGTCATTGTAGATGGTGCATGCTCCGACTACAAGCCTATTAACGCTGGTACACAAAGCTGTGTGCTATCACCAACGCTGTTTCTTCTGCATATCAATGATATGTTGCAAACCGGTGCTGTCATCCGCATAGCAATGAATGCATTGCTATGCGGATGACAGCACTGTTGATGCTCTATACACTGGCCGTGCCAATATTTTTAGGGAAAACGTCGCCGAGTACCGGAACAAACTTGTGTCTGAAGTAGAGTCTTTGCTGAACAAAGTCTCGGATTGGGGGCAACTAAATCTAGTCCAGTTTAATTCTCAGAAGACACAAGTTTGCGCGTTTACCGCTAAAAGAACCCCTTTGTCGTATCTCCTCAGTTTCAAGGCACTCCCCTTCTTGGCTCAGCCAGTATTGGAATCCTCGTAATCGACATATCGAGTGACGTGCAGTTTCGTGGTCACTTGGAAGAGAAGGCCAAATTGGCCTCTAAAAAGCTTGGCGTACTCAGCAGAGTGGGACAGTATTTCATGCCGACACACCGCCTGCAACTTTACAAGGCGCAGGTTCGGCCTCACATGGAATACTGTTCACATCTCTGGGCAGGGGCTCCCCAGTGACAGCTCCTTCCACTTGACCGCATCCAGCACAGAGCGGCTCGAATCGTCGACGACCTAGTCCTTTCCGATCGGCTCATTGGCACTGCGAAGAGATGTTGCACCCCTTTGCATTTTCTTTTGCGTCTACCACGGGGAGTGTTCTGGGGAATTGTTTGGATTAATCCCAGCCGCCAAATTTCACGAACGCAAATCGCAGCAGAACTACCGATACCATCCACACCATCTGGATGATTAGCGGTATTTCACTGTGCGATTTAGATGTTTTCTTCCTCGTACGACTTCCTTGTGGAATCAATTACTATCAGCGATTTTTTTCGGACCGATACGACTTAGGGATGCTCGTTTGCCCCCTCTCCTATAAAAAAACCAACGAAACGAAGTCAAACTCTGCACACCTTGTTCTACTCTATGAGGAGTTCCAGTAGCATTAACTGAAGTACACCTTCAAGTCACTCTGCCAAGTCCGGAGGTAAGGTCTCACCACAACTAACAAAAGGCCATACTCGGCACAACTAGTTATAATCTTTGAGGACTTCCAGTAGCAATCACTGAAGTACACTTTCAGGTGACTCTGTCAAGTCCAGAGGTAACGTCTGATCATAACTAACAAAACGAGCCCAAACTAAGCACACTTGACACATCTAGTTACACTCTTCGAGGAGTTCCAGTAGCATTCAACGAAGTACACCTTCAGGTCACTCTGTCAATTCCAGGGGTGAGGTCTCGTCTTAACTCACATAACGAGCACAATCTCGGCACACCTAGTTCTATTCGTCGACGAGTTCCAGTAGTAGACACTGAAGTATACCTTCAGGCCACTCCATAAAGTTCAAAACGAAATATTGTAATTAAAATCTGTGATTATAAAAATAATAACCTAGTCAAGGTTGGTATGTTTTGTATTTCTACAGCGATCGATATGTTTGTTGTTTGTTACCGCTGATGTAAGCAAATAGAGAGTTGTAGAGACGTCGCGCCATCGTGAGTGGATACAGTAATCCACTCATGACGGCGCGGCGGCGAACCCGAAGTGCGAGTGAGCTGTGAGGTAAAGTGTATTTAGTAAAATAAATTATTACAAGGCTGCTCAAGTTACAGACAATTTCGGAAATGCTTAACCGAAAAGCTTAATTATAACTAAACAAAACAAAATTAAACTGCCATTTACATTCCATGGCTTCCCACATGATAGAAAGAGAGATTAAAAAAATTATATTTATAAAATTTTCGTATTTACCCCTCCATGCGGACTTAAGCGGATACATCTACACCATAAGCCACTAAAACCACTTTTTTATGTCAAAAGCAATTAATCGATTTAAAAAGTTATAAGTTCAATGATCATTTATCTTACTCAGAAAGTGCTTTTTATATAATTTATATATTCATTATCAAGATTGGTAGATACAATTTCATGCGAAAAAACGTCTCGAATCTTGATTTTAGGCACTAGTAGAACATACCTACGCGCTTTGCGCTTAAGGCATGCAATATTATTATTTACACTTTTTGCAACATAAAAAAATTAAAAATTAATATCCACTCATTTCTTTCTCAAGGCATACTAAATAATAAAGTAATTGAAGTAGTAAGTACAAAAGAATACCTGTGTTAGGAGGCACCGCTCTTCCTAATAATATTAAATATTGAGATAACCGAGCAAGATTACATATGATCGAATGTAGTCTGAAAACATTCTACTTCGGAGACTTCGAGTAAAAATATTGCATACCTTAGGCATGCAATAGCTTTCTCAAATTGAGTAAATAGGGTTATTTGCATGCCATTGACGTCATAGTAAACATTTAAAAAAATTTTATACGTAAAATGTATCTTTTTAATAATATGTACATAGCGTTGTAATTATTTTGCTTAAATTATTTTCTTTTACTTTTTAACAGATCAACGATAATGCTCTTCCAGTCAAAGACCCGAGGCAATTAGAGAAGGATATTTTACATCTGGTGACAAATTTGCCATCTCCACAGCCTAAATCACCTCAAACAACTTTTCCAGATCACGAAGATAGTTCTCCGTTTCATCTCTCTATAATTCCACCACATAAAGAAAGAATCGTCAACGCTATAGAAAAAATATATAGTGTTATTAAAATATTTAATAGGAAACCAATATCTAAAATGCAACCTTACAAAGCTATGAAAGATAATGAACAGAATAATGATGAAGATATTAGAAAAATATCTAATGAGACGGGGCCAACGACTTTCACAACATCACTAACATCGGTTAGCGTCACTGATCTTGTAGATTCTCATTCGGTCTCAAGATTGAGATTTTCGGATAACACATCATTACAACGACCTAAACGATTAGGTTTGCCTAACCGTATTTTTGAAAGTAATACTTTAACACCTAGCATTGATATTGATCCAGTTCTATCTACTGGCTTTTCACAAAGCTGCAGCACGTTTTTACAAAGACCGTCTGGATTTTGTTCTTCGGTTGATCCTATTTTATTAGAACGTTTATATTCGACACAAAGTGATCATGACCCTAATAGATATGACAGTGATTTATGTGCTTTCGACCATTATATCAGAGCTAGAAGTCCCACTCCTTTTACGAATTCAGTGATACCTGAAAAAACTTACACAACTTCAGTTTCTACCATTTCATCATCTTCAGGCATGACACTCAACTCAGAAAATATTGTAAACCCCTCTATAACTACGTATTCTAACGCTTTAAGATTGTCACCATTATCTGACAGACATCGTATTATTCGACCTTCTCCTGTTTCAAGGAAACTATTAGGAATATCACAACAAAATCCTCAATTAATGGGTGTAAATAACGACCCCTGTACTGGTGAAACATGTCTCTTGGATAACGAAAGTCCATTAGTAAATTACTTTTCTACTATAAGTTGTCCCTCAACATCTGGTCCATCGGCAATAACAGATCCTTCTTCAACATTTGTAGCAGAGATTATTCACCCCAATTATGAAATGATAATTCCAACTGATACTTCAACATTTATAGATAGAACATATCAGGACGTGCATTCACTTTATGACACTGTGGTTCACGCTAACCGTCAGCTCATGGAGAATTTTAAAAATGATAACAATAATCAATCATTACTTGAAACTATTACAAGTAATCAAATTGACTATTTGGAGGAAAATCCAATGATTGTTACGCCCACAAGTACAAGCTGTGGAAAAGAATTTGTTCCTTTGGAAGCGAAGCGACTAACAGGTGAAATAGTAGGTTATACAAAAAGTAGTGTGGAACCATCGATTTCCTTGGCGCCCATTAGTTCTGACATTTCAGAACTAAAGATAATTTCTTGTGGTACAAAACGTCCAAACGATTCCGAAGATATTGATGAGATCCCCAAAAAAAGACTGCTTTAGATGTGACTGTTGATGCAATGGATTCATTCGTAGAGAAATCTAGTAAGTCCATATACCTAGTAAATATATCTTTTCTTTTGTTTATACGATTTAATTACATCTTGTAAAATTGTGTGACTTAGTGGTCTAAGTATTTAGCTGATCTCGGTTTTTAGATTCACATTTGAGCTTCTGTCAACAATTTAGCAAGATACACTTTAGCTCTCCCCATATCTCTGACAATGTATACCATCCCAGTCTACACTCGTATGTTTAGTAAACCTCTGTGTACAGTTACGAGTACACAGATTAGAAAAAAAAAATTGTTAGTTTAGTCTTAGTTAGTTAGTCTAGTGTTTGTGTCTGGTTAAGATGTGATTGTTGCCGAGTTTCTAACCCAACAATTCTATAATTATCAAACCAATAGAGTCATCATATGATACTAAATTTATTTTTAAATTGTTTCAGTTTTGTGTGCCAAATATCTGAATAACGATGAGTTGACATATTCTACTTATAACGATGGGTTGATAGATTCTTCTTTAGAACAAGAACTAATTTCCGATTTTCAGAATTAACGGTAAGTGTAATTCCTAATTTTTTCATATATAAATTAGTCATCGATAAAAGCACCTGCTGCGATGTTATCGATGATTAGAGTATGTAGTAACTCTACTGCAAACTCTTTAAAAATGAAACCTAATACAGACTATTATTATAAAGCATGTAAAATGCATGATTATATTTTTACGTCTCCGAAGAACAATGTTTTCAGGTGTACATACACCTGAAAACATTGTTCTCGTTTTGTTGTCATGTTGCACAAAGTTCAGATAATAATGTTGCATGCCTTAAGCGCAAAGCGTAGTGTGTAGGTATGTAGCGAAGCCTTCGAGAACAACGGTGAAACATTTGCTGTTTCCCTCGATGTTTCGAAGGCCTTTGACAGGGTTTGGCACGCTAGTCTATTGGGCAAGCTTTCAGCGTACGGCTTATCCGATGGCCTGATTGTTTGGGTGAAGGACTTTCTTAGTGAACGGTCTCTCCGGGTCGTCACCGGTGGCTGCTCATCTGGTACTGTAGCGACTAACGCCGCTGTTCCTCAAGGGACTGTTCTCTCCGCAAGTCTCTTCCTGCTGCATATAAATGATCTGCTCATTCCCGGTATATAGCCCATAGGGGTATGCAGACGACGGCACAGTTGTGAAAAGATACCAACCAAGTTCCCGGACCAGTCGGGATCAAATCCAGTCAGAAAGAGAGGCTATGGTTGACCGTGTGAATGTCAAACTACAGGCAGTCTCTGAATGGGGCAATACCAATTTTGTGAGGTTTAACGCCTCCAAAACACAAGCGTGTCTTTTCACCGCTAAAAGGAGCCCGCTCACCTTGGCTCCTACTTTCCGGAATGTATCCTTGAAGTACACTGACCGCCTTCAGTTGTTAGGGGTTGTATTTTCTCCGAACCTCAACTATGGGCGGTTCATTGAGTCCAGAGTCAAAGCAGAAGAAAACTTGGTGTCGTTGCAAGGGTGCGGCGGCATTTCACGCCAGGGCAGCTTCTTACCTGATATATAGCGCAAGTCCAGTCGTGCATGGAGTACTGCTGTCACAAATGGGCAGTTGCTGCAAAATGCCACCTTTGCCATTTGCCTTTGCGTATAGCATAGGAGTGGAATTATTTGCCGGCGTCTATCTTTCCATCCGATTACGATCTGGGCGTCTTCAAGGCAAGAGTGAATAGGCTTTTGTTACGCTAAGATAGTGCCATTTACTATCTGGAGCTGCATCACCACTTACCACCAGGTGAAATTGTGGTCAAGCACTGGCTTATAATAAGTAAAAAAAAAATGTTCTACTAGCGCCTAAAAGATCAAGATTTCAACATTTTAATTGCATTAAATCGTATCTAACAATCATTTTTAACATATAAATGACATAAAAAGCACATTGTACCTGTTCGGGCATCACATTTTGGAACGTGGTAGAGCCATGCTGCAGCTATATTAATAGTATAGTTGTAGCACGAATGGGTCGGCTCGACCATGCTCTCACAGAGTACCAGCGTAAAATAGCAGCTTAACACTGATATGTTTCGTATGGTGAGTGTAGAGAACCGGAGACCCTTTTTACCGGAAAAGAGGCATTCCATCTTAGTCCTCACGGGTGACAACTCATCTGCATTTTGATTTGCAAACGGGGATAGATGTAGATGTCCATGGGCCACAGCAACCACTTACCATCAGGTGGACTGTGTGCTCGTTTGTCACCCTATCCTATAAAAAATAGAAAATAAATGATAACTTATAATGTTTTTTTTAATCGATTAATAGCTAATTTTACATAAAAAAGTGGTTTTAGTGGAGTATGGTGTAGATATATCAAGTCCGCGTGGAGGGGTAAACACGATAACCTTTGAAAATATCAATTCTTTAATCTCTTCATATATCATGTGGGAAGCTATGGAATGTAAATGGCATTTTAAATTTGTTTTGTTTAGTTAGAAATAAGTTTTTCGGCTAAGAATTTCCGAAATTGTAGGTGACTTGAACAGCCTTGTAATAATTTATTTTACTAAATACACTTTGCCTCACAGCTCACTCGCACTTTGAATGGATTACTGTATCGTTTGCTTACAGCAATAACAGGCAGCAAATTATCGATCACTCTAGAAATACAAAATATTCCAATTGACCATTATTATTTTAACCACAGATTTTTATTACAATATTTTGTTTCCCTAAAAGTATGTAGGATTTATACTTATATATCATGGACTTTATGGAGTGACCTGAAGGTGTACTTCGGTATCTGCTATTGAAACTCCTCGACGAGTAGAACTAGGTGTACCAATATAGTGTTCTTTATGTTAGTCATGACGAAACATTACCCCCGAACTTGAGGGAGTGACCTGAAGGTGTACTTAGTTGAATGCTACTGGAACTCCTCGAAGAGTACAATTAGGTGTGCCGAGTTTGGCCTCGTTTTATTAGTAACGATGAGATCTTACCTCTGGACTTTATAGAATGACCTGAAGATGTACTTTGTTGAATGCTACTGGAACTCCTCCAAGAGTAGAACTAGATGTGCCGAGTTTGGCTTCATTTTGTTAATTATGGTGAGACCATACCTCCGGACTTAACAGAGTGACCTGAAGGTGTACTTCGGTGAATGCTACTGGAAGTCGTCAAAGATTAGAACTAGTTGTGAAGAGTTTGGCCTCGTTTTGTTAGTTATGATGAGACTTTATCTCCGGACTTGACAGAGTGACCTGAAGGTGTACTTCGGTGAATGCCACTGAAACTTTTCGAAGAGTAGTAATATGTGTGCCGCGTTTGGTCTCGTTTTGTTAATTATGACGAAACCTTACCTCCAGACTTGATAGAGTGACCTGAAGGTGTACTTTGGTGAATGCAGCTGAAACTCCTAGGTGAGTAGATAAGTGTGCCGAGTTTGGCCTCGTTTTGTTTGTTATGATGAAATCTCACCCACGGACTTGATAGTGACCTGAAGGTTTACTTCGGTGAATGCTACTGGAACTCCTCGAAGAGTAGATCTAGATGTGCCGAGTTTGGTTTCGTTTTGTTAGTTTTGATGGAACCTTACCTCCGTACTTGATAGAGTCACCTGAAGGTGTAATTAGGTGAATGCTACTGGAACTAATCTCGAAGAATAGGATTAGTTGTGCCGAATTTGGCCTTTTGTTAGTTATGATGAGACCTTACTTGATAGAGGACTTGATATGGTGATCTGAAGGTGTACTTCGGTGAATCCTACTGGAACTCCTCCAAGAGTAGAACTAGGTGTGCCGAGTGTCCCTCGTTTTGTTATTTATGGTGAAACCTTACCTCCGGACTTGACAGAGTGACTTTAAGGTGTACTTCGGTGGCTGACTCTTTGACGAATAGTACTACAATTTACAATATTTTTTAATGATCATATGAGCTATATGAGTAGTGGACTTTGGGATTTTCCAAGCTTTGTTTTAATTCAAATTTGTCATAAAATTATGGGAAAATTTGAGGCTTAGTAATAATTATGAGATTTTTAGTGAAAACTTTTGTGTAATTAAACTACTTTAAAATTTACGTTATACGTAATGTTATACGTAATTTTTTTAATGCGCTTAAGGCATACACAATTGGATTTACCAATAGTTTTTACTTTTATGTATTATTTGTAATCTCTTCTAGACTAAATGGATTGCTCGGATGTAGAAGTTCGTAATGCCGTTAGATTTATTTTCATCTTCAGAGTCTTAGACTACTTTAAACAATAAGAGATTACTGTAGTAAGATTGTAATGTCTAATATTCTGAGATGTAGTGTGGAACTGGTCATTTAATATTCAGTTACATTGATCCGTCATAGTACCTTTACTACACAGACAACTTAATTTTACATCCATTTCTCTTTAAGGTTTTAGAACACCATTATTATTTTTTAAATTTGAGTTAAATATGATTAAAATTTAGTTTAAAACAACATTTCATACGTGGTAGAGTCATGCTGCAGCTATATTAATAGTATGGATGTATCACAAATGCGTTAGCTCGACCGGGGAAGGACCACGCTCTCACAGAATACCAGCGTAATATAGCAGCTTAACACTGCTGTGTTTCGTATAGTAAATGTAGAGAACCGGAGACCCTTTTTACTAGAAAAGAGGCATTCCATCTTAGTCCTCACGGGTGACAACGCATCTGCATTTTGATTCGAAAACAAGGATGAATGTAGATGTCTATGGGCCACAGCAACCACTTACCATCAGGTGGACTGTGTGCTCGTTTGTCATCCTATCCTATAAAAAAAACATATTTACATTAAGACGTCTCCTTATATTATTTCCAAATGAGATAGAAGTCAAGCTAATACTTGTGAGTGACTATTTCAGCGGAGAACACTTACAATGAGAGATAAACTGATAAAAGGAGCACCATCGCATAATAAAGTTCTTAAAGTCTGTACGGTGATAGTGGATAAAAAGTATGATTTCTAAATTCATTGGAAAGTACCGCCCTT